ACTCCAACTCAAAAAAAAAAAAAAAATTGCCTATTTATACTTTTTCCGAAATTTCTCTTGGCTCATTTATCTGTCTTACTGATTTGTAATTCCTTATAGTCTAAAAAAAAGTGATTATTAGGCCAGGCACGGTGTCTCACGCCTGTAATCCCAGCTCATTTTGGAGGCAGAGGCGAGAGGATTGCCTGAGTCTAGGGGTTTGAGACCAGCCTGGGCAATTTGACGAGAACTCGTCTCTACAGTGAATCAAAAAATTAGCTGGGTATGGTGGTGTACGCCTGTAGTTCCAGCTACTTGGAAGACTGAGGCAGAGGAATCGCCTGATCCCAGCTGGTCGAACTTGCGGTGGCTGGAGTGTACTACTGCACTCCAGCCTGGGTGACAGTAAGACTCGAACTCAAAAAGACAAAAATTATTAGGTGAGGGTTTTAATTATCTTCTTGCAGTATGTGACTGTCTTTTCATTTGTTCATAATGTCGTCATATAGACCTTTGCATTTTATTTTATTTTATTATTTTTTTATTTTATTTTATTTTATTTTATTTTTGAGTTGGAGTCTCACTCTGTCGCCCAGACTGGAGTGCAGTGGCCGATCCTGGCCGCCTCAGCCTCGACCTGCTGGGCTCCGGCGATCCTTCCGCCTCAGCCTTCCAAGTAACTGGAACTACAGGTGCGCGCTAACACGCCCGGCTAATTTTTTTGATTTATTGTAGAGATGAGGTCTCGCCAAGTTGCCCAGGCGGGTCTCGAACCCGTGGGCTCAGGCAATTCACTCACCTCAGCCTCCCAAGGCGTGGGATATGCAGGCTGAGCCACCGAGCCCGGCAACCTTTGCATTTTAATGTAAACAGAATTTCAGTCTTGTTTGTGCTTTGTGGCTTAAGAAATTTTTCTTTAAACTATCAAATTTCTTTTTTTTTTTTTTTGAGTTGGAGTCTCACTCCTTCACCCAGGCTGTTGTGCATGCACGCTCATGGCCACTGCAGCGTCGACCTCCTTCTGCTTCAGCCTCCTGAGTAGCCTGAACTACCTACGCAGCTACCACGCCTGGCTATTTTTGATTTTATTGTAAAGATGAAGTCTCGCCAAGTTGCCCAGGCTGGTCTCGAACCTGTGGGCTCAGGCAATTCACTCACCTCAGCCTCCCAAAGTGCTGGGATTATAGCAAATTCCATTTTTTTTTTTTTTCCTAAAAATTTTCTGCTTTTTATATTGAGGTCTTTAGTCTATCTGGCTAGTTATTATATAGGACTTTTGAGGAATAAAATATCTTTTCTGTAGCCTGTTGTCTCAGCAGTAGGTATTAAGCCATCCTTCCTCTCTTAGTTATAATAAACCCCCTATGTTGTTTAGCATATAACTCTTTTATAAACTTGTGTGTTTTATTCCTGTGTTTATTTGTATGGGTCTTTTTTCTGTTCATCTATTTGTCTCTTTGCAGCAATGCTATTTTTTTAATTAAAAAATTTTTTTTTTTAGTTGAAGTTTCTCTGTTCACCCAGAGTGCAGTGGCATACTCACGGCCACCACAGCCACCACAGCCACCGCCTGCTGGGCTCGGGTGATCTCCTATCTCAACTTTCCAAGTAGCTGGCAATTTTTTTATTTATTGTAGAGATGAAGTCTCGCCATATGACGCAGGTTGGTCTCGAACCTGTGGGCTTAGGCAGTCTTCTCACCTCTGCCTCCCAAAGTGCTGGCATTATGGGCATGACTCACTGTGCTCAGCAAATACTATACTCTTTTAATTATTCTTATCATACTGTGAATCTTGCTGTGCATGTTAAGATAAATCTTTCCTTTTCACTTACTCTTCAAAGTTACCTTGATTTATTTTGTTCATTTTTGTCTAATATGTTTATGCTGTTTAATTATTTCTACTGGCCATTTTGTTTATCGAAATTCCTTTTGGTTTTTCAGTTTCTTTTCAAGGAAAAAAGTAATGTAGCTGGGCTCGGTGGCTCAGCCTGTAATCCCGTGCCTTTGGGAGGCTGATGTGAGTGGATTGCCTGAGCCCGTGGGTTCGAGACCCGCCTGGGCAGCGAGACCTCATCTCTACAATAAATCAAAAAATCAGCTGGGCGTGGA